TTCACCACAGATGAAAATGGATCGAAAATCGAACGAGCTGCATGGAAAGTACTTTCGCATACTTGTGAATTACATAAAAAAAACATTTAATGCTTCTTCAGTAATTTTCTGTTCAGCCCACAGAACAACCAGATACGTCAGGCTATGTGCATTCAGCTCGAGTGAGAAAAGAGCAGGTACTGTGATAAAGAAGTTCTTTTTTGGAATAATTCTACCAGCGTCACTTGAGAGCAAATTCGAAGCTCTCTCCTTAAGTTCATCAGCTGCTGTCTCGTGTAACCACGTAGACCAGATCCGTATAATAAAAACTGAACATCAAGCATAGTAAAGACGATCAATTATATTAGTGCTTTTGTAGATAAAGGCCAAATGAACACATTTTATGACCTATCAAAATGAAATTAATAAAATTTGACCGTTCAGTAGTACTCAGTAATGAGGTGGCGAAAACTTTTCAAACAATTTTCGTTATGTCATACATAATATTTTGAAAGAGAACTACCTCGATTATATCATATCTAACGACTCCATACTTAGAAAAAGCAAAAAATATTACTTGTAGACAAGCTTGGGTTGCTTGAGAATTCGAAACATTTTTAATAGAAGAAAAAACAGCATCACTCGTGATCTTTTCGCAGGATGAATAATTTTGTTTGTCCTTTGGGCAAACATCTGATATGGCTAATCCATGATCGATCTTTGAATGGTTCTCAATCAATTCCACGAGATGTTTAATGCTGGCATACCTTTTCCCTATTAATAAAATTGTTTTTGAAGACAAAAGACGGTTGCACAGCTTAGTACATAAATGTGGCGCATCTTGTAAACATACAAATAGCTATGATGATCTCAAAAAAAAACCATGAAGTTTTCTAAACAATGGAAAGCAAGAATGAGAATAAATTCATGTGCTTGAACATTGTTTTTATTGTACTGGAATATTAATATTGTTTTCCGAAAAATCCAATGATAGATGATCGCTGATGAAAGATATTTTCAGATTTTTTTTTTCTAAGAACGATAATTGAAAGTGATTATTATATTATTTTTAATTCTCAAGAAATAAAATAGATTTATATAAGAAGAAATACTTCGTCAACCTGGTTGCACGACATTTGAGCGCGTGACATTTGCGCGCCGACACTTGCGCGCCGACATTTTCGCGCACGACACTTGCGCGCGCGACACTTGCGCGCACGACTCTTCCGCGCAGCGACACTTTCGCGCAACGATATTTTCGCGCACGACACTTACGCGCGCGACACTTGCGCGCAAAACTTCTTTTCATGGAATGGATCTGCGTTTGGGTTTGGGTGTGATGATGACGGAAGGTGGGTGTCACTGCGATGGGAGAGCAGTAGTTCGAGACAATCCTTGATGCATCTTCACTACCTTAGGGAAAATCTTTGATGCTTTTGTGTCTGATCCTCAACGAATCGAATCAGGATCCTTGAAGGATTCGCTGTTTTTTTCCTGAGGAAACGACTAAATCCTGAAAAAAGCATGTAGCCACAGAGTTTCAAGATCCTGGTAGGATTCCTAGCAGGATTCAATCAGGATTCTGAACAGATTGCGTCCGAACTGCATGAAATCTTGAAACAATCATCTCTATTATTCCTGTAAGGATACTAAGCAGGATTAAGTGTGAATCCTTGTAGGATCCTGCGTTCATGATTTAGAAAAATATCTCGATAGGAACCTGGATAAATCCTGAACAGAACCTTGCCTAACCGTGCGAAACCCTGGAAAAACTAATTATCAAGAACTGCGACAGGATCTTGAAGAAAACCTGACGAGATCCTTAAAATCCAGGATCCTGAAAGATTCTTTCAGAATTTCTCAATGAATGATCAGAATTGACACTAGGGTAATCCTTAACCCTCACACCCACACCAAGCACTTATATCCTAAGCCACATCCGTAGTCACATCCAACCCAGACTGAAGTCAAGCGTAGAAAAAAAACATTTTGCGCGCAAGTGTCGCGCGCGTAAGTGTCGTGCGCGAAAATATCGTTGCGCGAAAGTGTCGCTGCGCGGAAGAGTCGTGCGCGCAAGTGTCGCGCGCGCAAGTGTCGTGCGCGAAAATGTCGGCGCGCAAGTGTCGGCGCGCAAATGTCACGCGCGCAAATGTCGTGCCACGCGTCAACCTATAAATAGACACCGAAGACATTTATTATCCTCTAAGTAATATGAAGAAAATCATCAATCCGTACAATTATAATCGTTTACTCGAATTCCGATTGATTTTCTTTTTCATATGAAACTAATTATACTTGTTCACTTACTTTAAGTAAAGAAATTTCGAAACGATTAGGATGTTCTTCAAATCCCATGGAGTCCCGCACTGCTTTCATTTGTTTTGGATCACAATCTGCTGAGAAGTCTAAAATTCGAATATTTTGATTCATACATGAATCAAAAATACTTGACCATCGATCGAGAACATCTTTAGCTGTATATTTACTGTTGATACCGTAAGCAGCAAGAAGGAATGGCGGTGGTGATATTTGATCGATAGGATATATTGGTTGAATTACATGTACATTGATAAGAGATGATTTGTCTATTTCTTCATACCAAGTTTCAAGTTCACCAAATGAACTGGTAGAAAAGTAGCGTGGACAAGTTAAACCCAACAAAAGAGTTCGAACGTGAGTCATAAGAAACTTTTGCTACCACCGCATTACTGTCTTCTCCACAGAATGCATACTTACAGTCGAATGAATCAATAAAGTCCTTAAAACGTTCATATTGAAATTCACCTTCAATGAAATGCTTTTAAGAAGTTATCAAAATTGATCGTAAAATACTAAAACTAGGAATCGATCCTGGAATATTCAACCGAATGAACTCATAAACCGTACGGCCTCCTAGAATGTATAGGGAGGCAGCGAATTCTTTCATCGATTGTTCATAGCGAAAGGCATTTTTGAACATATAATGTTTGATAACATATTTGATATAAAATCCAATGAAAAATCTGTTAATAAATGCCTTTCTAGACAATATATTAGATCTAATAAGAACGGATATTGCTGAAGAAGTTCAGATGAAATTGTTAAAAGGCTTGATGTTTACTGACAATGAAGGATCAGTAGATGAAAGAAGAGCACGCAGCGAACGAATAAATTTTTCGAGTTTCACGCGAATACCAGGCATAACAAAAAATGAATAGTTTCCTAAATTGTTTTTGCCTGGAATACTCAAAAATTCTTTGATTGATGTTGTTTGAGTTGATTCGATTTGAAGAATGGAGAAGACATCATCGACTTCAATCAAATCCATTGAAAAATCGATCAGCTGAAATTTAAGTAATTCGACGGCCTCTTTACCACAAAAATCTTCTACCAAGTAGTAAAAAGAATCTCCACGAAGCGACAGTGCATTAGCTGAAAGAAGAAAATCCATCTGAAATATAGAATTATTTAAAAAAAACGTTGTACAATAAAAGAGCAGAATAATAAGATGCCTTTCTAACTTCGAAAAACGTTACGGTTTCTTCTAGTAATTTATTCCTGATAAAATTTCCACCCCAATAGAGTGTTTCGTATGTTAAATCCATTAGAAAACCTGAAATTTTTAAACTAAATTCTTGATGTTGATTATAGTCAAGCTTATAATTACTTACAAGATCACAGAAAAATAGAATCTGTTATTAAAGAAATATTTATATATAAACCTATATCTGCATACGCTATAGAACATTATGAGTAAGTACATTAATAAAAAAAAGGAATCATAATAAAATATAAATAATATAGGGTTCTATTACGATCAATAATAATATCTTGTTTCTTTTCTCTAATAGAATGAGAACTGTAAATATGTTGTTCTTTTAATTGATCATGCTTTCTACAATAGCTCACTATTGAATTTTCTGTGAACTGATTTCTGACGAATTGAGTTCTTCTATGTTTGAAGAAATCCATAAAGATGGACGCTTGAACTTAGCTTGATATGCATTATAATATTTTACGTTGTATTTGACTGAATACTATTATTTGGTTTAGTTATGAATATGGTTCTCGAATTTGTAAAACTAAAGAGAAACAACAATTTTGTTATTGTCTCAAAGATGATTGTGATGGAACGACTCACTCGTTCTGAGATTATTTCAATAATGAATAACGATAATATATGAACGCAGTATATATTCCAGCAGAGAGAAAAAACGAGAGAGAATGATTAATGAATAGAACATTAGAACATGACCG